CCAAGGGTGGGGATGACAACTAACAAGAATGGGCACAGTGGTTCCAAACATGGCCTTTGGGATTGCACTGGACCACTGAGTTCAGGTCTGACTCTCCTACTTACAAGCTGTGTGATCCTGGGTGCATTATTTCATATCTCCTAACCTAATGTTATGATCCACAAAAATTCTTTGCACTGTGCCAAAAACATAGGAAACCCAGAATAACTGTAGTTATTACTGTCATCCTAATAGTAAACCTTGGAAGTTATTCTCAAGAAATTCACAGACTATTAGAAGCTGGTCAGAGGCTTAGTGGTCATTGAACACAACACCTTCCCTTTGCAGATGACAAGGGGGGGGGGTGAAGTCACACTGCAGAGCTAAGACTAGGGCACAGGACTCTTTCCCAGTCAGCCATGAGCTCTCAGATCGCCTGGGAGAGGAAAAATAATAGCTACTTTGATAAACAATAGAGAGAAATGACCAGTGACAACCCAGAGAAGATTGGCTCTGTATGAATGAGACCCTGGGAGGCCTGTGATATTTCCAAAAGGGGGTGTGTTTGGGAGGAAGAAGAAGAATAAGCAGGTGCTACCAGTAGCTGATGTCATTTGGTCTCATTAGAGAAAGTCACAAAGCAGATCACTGATGGGATTAGATTTCCCAGCAGCTCTAGCTTTCCCCACCACCTGTCATGTCAAATTCTTTCGTGGGAAGGGAGCGGACTTAGTGTCCCAAATGTGCTGATGTTACCTTGGTCACAGCTCCATTCCCATCAACAATGGGGAATAACAAGCAGCCTGGAGAGTCTAAAACTGTAGTTGGAAAACTACAATCCACTGGCCAAATTCAGCCCACCACCTGATTTTCAAATAAAATTTCACTGAAACACACCTATGTTTGTATTGCTTATGGCTGCTTTATGGTATAACAATGGAGTTGAGTAATTGGAACAGACCAAACAACCCCAAAGCATAAAATATTTACTATGTGGTCCTTTTCAGAAAAGGTTTGCCAACCTCTGAGACACAACTTTATCAGCTGTTTAAGAGACAAAAACCCTGTCCAGGCTATGAAAGAATCAACTGATTCCTTCAAGATATTTTTATGCTCCCTTGCTGAGACTTAGTTAAAACTATGTGAAATAAGGGTATACTTAAAATCTCCACAAAATTCAAAGGCCTTCTCTTCTTCAGTAAGGATGTAAAAGAAAATTGTCCACTTCTTCTAAGGGTGAATCTAGTTCTGGTCTCCCTCTTATTCTAGTACATGGAGGAGATAGAGCCACTTGAAGAGAAAGCAAAGCCATTCCATGCATTACTACATGTAAAGAGCCATCTCTTAAGAAATGTGTGTACTATAAACCAGGTGCTTGCCATACATGATTTTGCATTTTGCATTATAACAACCATGTTAAGTAACATATTATCCCCATTTTACAGAAAGGTAAGCTAAGAGGTTTGCAACTGTTTGATGCCATGTTTTCTAACACAGGTGCAATAACTCAGTTCCTGATCTGCCTGCCTGTTACAAGCATGGCTGAAAGTAGCTTAAGTTTAACCAACCCAGACAAAGTAGAGACCCCAATTATTATTTCTAGACATTTGCTCTGCCAAACACTATACAGCAAGATACTCATTGAAGAGGTCCAATATGTTTAGAAAACATTGTATATGTTACCACCTTCCTGGAAATAATATGATGCTATTTTCAAGTTATTGACTCTGATAAATTTTTCCAAACATTTAATGATAGATGCCTTTAATTTAATTAACAATATCTCATAAAACTGGTTTTCCAAAGGACACATTTGGGTACTATTGAATTAGATAATGAGGGCTGGGGATATAGCTCAGTTGGTAGAGTGCCTGCCTTGCATGCACAAGGCCCTGGGTTCAATCCCCAGCACCCCCCCCCACACACACACACACACACACAAATCTGCCACTGGTTGGGCTGGGGTTGTGGCTCAATGGTAGAGTGCTTGCCTCACACACAGTGAGGCACTGGGTTCGATCCTCAGCATCACATAAAAATAAATAAGTAAAGATATTGTGCCCAAAAAATAAAAATAAAAAAAAATTAAAGATATTGTGCCCATCTACAACTAAAAAAAATTTTAAAAAGTGTAGTCATGAACTAGATGATGATGATGATTGATGATTATCATTGATAATAAAAGTTCTTTCTTAAACAATTACAATGACCCAGCCAATGGCCTAAGCATTTACATGTATTAAATTTGATTAATTCAATTTACCCTCCCAGAAACCTTGAGATACACACTATTATTAATTCCCTTATTGACAGATGAGGAAACTGAGGCACAAAGAGGACAAAATAAACTTGCCCAAAGTCATGTAGCTATTAAGTAGGAGTCTATGAGTTTCTCAAATATAGGAATCAGATATCAATGCATCTTTGTATACCCTACACTTAGCACAGTACCTGGTCCACAATATGTACCCAGGAAACAACCAGTGAACTGGATTGGAAATAAGGTTCTAATAAAAAGTGACTAGAATGTATTGAGTAGAACATTTAAGACCTTTGAATGGCATTTACACAATGAGGGTATTCCCTCATCAATCAGGGTTTTTATTTGTTCCAGAGAAGACTGTAACCTAGAAAATATCCCTACTATAAACTACTTTGTACTGTGTAACCATTTTTATATTTTATTTAATGCATCCTACTTAAGGTTAATACAAAAATGATAGAAAATATTAGATAGTACTGATCCAATTTAGCCACAAGAAAATGAAGGTACGTTAAACTGGGCTTTTTGTGTGGCATAAAATATATTGAAAGAGGCAACACCACACCATAAGGAATGACTGTATTGCCCTTGTTGGTAAAGTGGATGGATTTTTTTGTAATGCAACATAATAACAGCTACTGAGAATAGTCGATAGTAGCTTTTTAAATATGATAGGTCTAAACATATATGAAGGTCAAAATTAGTAAATGAAATGCTGGTGAATTTTCAGTGTAGAGTTGAGTGAGACCAGGGAGCACTGAGAGAACACAAATCATGCTTTCAGCTTTAAAGGAAAGAGAAGCAAAAGCAGCCCAAGAGAAGATTACGGTTTTGTGTCCTACAAAATAAAAAGGAAATTTTATGTTTAGCACTTTGAAGCTTTAAGCGAAGTGATCCAATGGTATTATTGCTCAGAACTTACATAAAACACTCCTGAAAGATCATAACTATAATAATGGTTGATCTTCAGCTAGTGTATATTGTACTGTTTTCAGCATCTTATACATATAGCCCTAGATGGTGAGTACTATTATCATCCCCATTTTACAAATGTGGGAGTGGAGGTACAGAGAGAGAACAGGGTACAGTTACTTTCCTATGATCCTATGCCAGCACAAGACAGATGAAGGACCTCAGCAATCTGATTTGAGAGCACATGTTACTAACTGCTTACATGTGGAAGAGAAGATTCTAAAGCTCAATTATATCCAAATTCTGAGAGACAAAATAATTTCCACTGCTACTTTCAGGATGTCAGGGTCTCACTAGGTAGACACCAGAGGACTGAATGTCACAATTTGGAATGGAATCCTTGCCAAATACATAGGCCCCTCCTTGGTGGCTTACTAAGTGACAGGTTTCTAGAGGTTGTCATATATCCTGCCACTTAAGAACCCCACCAATTTAAGAATATGCATTAGTCATGACAAGTAAAGAAAGATCTGTCCCTCCACCCACGTCCATCACTGGTGTGTGCCAGGATTTCTAAAACCCTCAATGATGTAGTCACAGCCTGGCCACGTGCATGCCCTTCCAAAACACAGTCAACTGTTTGTGACTGTATTTATGCCATGATGGTACATCAAAGCTAACACATTCTGCAACTGCCACATGCCCTCACACATTCAGAAAAAGTCCAGAAAGAAAAAAATGTTCATTTGGAGAAAGCAGAGATGGGTTCCATGTTGATAAAAAGAAGGAATTTTACAATAAATCATTGTACCCAATTCTCTGAGTGGGAGCCATTTGACAATCAAACACAGAACACTTAAGAGAAATAGCAAATTAAATGTTGAATAAAAACAAATACTGAAAGTTATTTTCATAATTGTGTTTTTGTTTCAAAATGCCTGCTTCTCTTTCCCATTTTTGTGGGTGATACTAAGTCAATTTAAACAACCAAAGAATTTGTTTACTGAGATGGCATGAGGAAAGCTAATAACATATGAAATTTTAAAAATAAATAACCAAAATTAAAAATAAATAAATAAATAAACAAGCCATGGGAAGAACACTTGATTATAAAAGGGCATTTTTTTAAAGAAAGATATATTTTATTTGATTTTATGCTGAGGATTGAACCCAGGGCCTCCCACATACAAAGCTTTTGCTCTACCACTGAGCTATACCCCCAGCTTTAAAAGATGTATTTGAAACAGAGGCATCAACAAACTTTGACCCACTGATATATCCATATAGCAATTGGATATGAAAATGGAAACTGAACATTCTATCTCTATTGTTGAGCATATAAAACATGGATATCAAAAAACATGCTACATTTTTAAATTAATATTTAATAGTTATAAAGATTTATAGAGTACAGTATGATATTTCAACAATATGATATTTTATAACAATACATGTATGCAATGTGCACTGATCAAATCAGAGCAATTAGCATTTTCCTCTCCTTATCATTGCTTTCTGTATGGAGCCTTTGAGCAAATCTCTTCTAGTTCTTCAGAAAGCATATAATAGGCTATTGTGAACACACTATATTTTTGTAGATGATAATTTAATTCTCATTTATAAAATTTGATTTGTCTTTATAATAATCCAGAACAATTAAACAAAAATAGCTTTTATTTTCTCTTTTATGCTTACCGGTCTTCATTTCTCAATTGTCCTTCAGGAGCCTGACCAAGAGGAACTTTCTTTTCTTCTCATCAGTTAGAGGTGAACAATCGCAGTATGACTTAAGCGATCACACTAGAAGTCACAGAGCTGATGTTAAAACACAAACACACCTACTTACCTGGATGGCTCTGACATTGGAAACTGGCTGTTTCGACATATTCAGGCAGTCTTAGTCCTAAAAAATAAGTAAGAAACTGTTAGATGTGGCGGCATTCAGATTCTTAGTCTTGATAAATTCAAATTTAACTCATGATTCAACTGGGCAGCCACCCCTTTCACAGGCCATATATTCTTTCAGTCTCAATTTCCAAAGTTACTTAGAGACCCTCCTTCTGAAAGCCTTGGGGAGAGGGAATACTAGAGCGCCCCAATAAATCATTCAGGAGGAGAAATGCTGAGATGCCTCGCCCCTGATGCTAATGATAGGGGATCAGAAACTTGAAAGGCCCTATCATCTCCTTCCCTGCCCTCCTGACCCTCTGCCAAGAGCAGCAAAGCACAGAGGCGGTGGGAATAAAACACCTTTGTTCAGGCTTCAGTGGCTCTCCACTTGAAGCTGAACTTTTGATCTGAATTCATTGTTGCCAGGGCGGCTGGTCAGTCCAGTGAGAGCACCTGCTCTTTGTTGAACACCCAAAGACAAATGGCCTGTGCTACATCCCCACTGTGCACATGTCTCTTCTCCCAGCTCTTGGGAGGTACTCGGAGAACCTGGGCTACAGCTTCATCACCCCACACCCCAGCACTGCCTTATGTTCCTCAGGCCCTCTGCAGGGTGCTCATACAGAGCTCAAGCTTTGCTTTCAACGATCTCAGAAGGCAGAAGGACTTCAGTGCCCATGTCAGATCAGATACCCAAGATGTAGAACTGCTTCATTCCCAGAGGACTATTTCATTCTTTCAACCTTCCTTAGGGCAGTGTAACTGGAGCATATTTGGGGACTAGGCAGTTTACTGGGGCTGAAGGAACAGGAAATAATAACCCAGCTCTGGCTTATTTTTATAGCTTCATTTATTAAACAAGAACAGGACCAAGTGAAAAGTTAAAAAATTCATTGAATGAAAAGCACTCTGTGTTCTAAACCTAAACTATAAAACAGGTTGACTGCATTCTATCTATTGACTGGTTTAAACATACATGTTAACATGTAAATAAGTGACACAGGAAGCAATATTAGCATTTGCCACAAGTCCTATGTGACCTGGGCAATGTTGCTCAACATTTCTAGGCTCATTTCCCCTTCCTTAAAATTTACCTGCCTCACAGGCTGTAGTAACATTCAAAGCACATAATGCTGCTGGGAAGGCCCTGCGAATGTTAAAGCATGATGCAAGTATTTATTGTTTTACTGGCACTGTCCACAGCTAATGATTTGTGATTGCTATTACTGATATGCAGCCTTAAGTACAGAGAATTGATAGACAGATGTTCCTCAACACCTGTAGAGATAAAAGATCTGAGAACTCTGTGAGTAACTTAGGTTGTTGTTTTTTTTTTTCAGATCTTCAAAGTCTTAGGCTCTATTATGTGAAGTTAAACAATTACATATTTTTAAAATTAGTATATCCAAGTAGAGTTTTTGTAGCTATATACATGAAAATGATGAGGCTTTTTATAAAAGTTTTACCCAAATGCTTTAGAATTACATGGATATAGCCTCCATGCATAAAGGTGTAGGTACAGTTATTTTTAATATGGTTAAAAAATTAAATAGCAAAACCAAAATGAACAACAGGGATACATTTTGCTCTATGATTTGTTTCAAAAAGATTACTGTCTTTTGTTCAGTGTCAAAGGAAAATGAATCATTTTAAATTTTTGGATCTAGGGCACACAGCTCAATGCCAAAGTGAAAAGTGTAGTGACTTAATTTTTAACGTTTCCATTCCTCAAAAGCTAGTAGAAGTCATGCAAAGAATTCTCAGAGGATTTTAAATATCTCAGCATAGTTTTCTCTGAGTGTGTACAACTAAAGTTCAACTACTATCATTTGGGAACTTTTGAAAAGTTATTTTACATCAATTTAAAACATGGGAATTAGGAAATTTCTTTATGTTATTACAATAGCATGTTGGAATGTAAAACAAAACAAAAAACAAGCAATGGATAGTTGTGTCATTTATACTGCATTGATTTTTTTTTTTTTTGATAAGCTGATTTTGTTTTTTTTTTTCACTGGCGATAACAACAACTACTGTCCTGCTATGTTTTTTGAGGGGAGAAACATAGCCTAACAAATGGGTGGGCCTTATCTTCCTTATAGTTTTGGTATATTCTGATTTATATACAAATCTCTTCTAAACATCCATGTCAATATTGAATAGAGACACCTATAGAAAAAGTTGGTTAGCTCCCAGCTCTTGTTCCTCACAAACAGGCTAGAGAACATTTGTGTAAATCAGTTCAGCAGCAGTTCCTGCTGTCCTCATTATTTGCAGAGAAATCAGGGCAAAGCACACTAATGAATAAAAATAGACCGTGTTCCCTAGCTGTTTCCCTGGCCCTGTATTCACCTCCATCAGGGATGTAGAGTATAGGATGCACCTTCCCTCTTCATCTGCATGCTTCCTCCCGGGACCAAAAAAAGAAAGCTATGCCTTAGGTACACTTTCTACTCCCACCGGGGCCACAGCTTTTCATCCAGAGAGGTACTCTTTATAATACTCAATTACTGTGTCTGTCTCCTGGCTCTGGCTAAAATTTGAAAACATTGAAAGTTTGACAGGCATATATTGACTTTTACAAAGCCTATAGTATAATGGAAATGCTTGCCAACTGAGTGCAGTTGAGTTTTCCTGGCAGTTCTGCAAGTCAGTAGGGACTTTTAATGGTCTGTATGCTGAGTCATGTACAATATATACCCCTGGTTGGTTTTGATTGGATAGCACTTAATATCTAACTTCTAAATAAAACTCTTTGAATTACTAAAAATTGGTCAACATTAATATCACTAATTTAATAAGAAGGGATTCAGAGGAAAATCAATATTTGGAAAGAAGAGCTTTGTTTGTTCTTTCGAAAGGTCAAGTAAATGGATAAAGCTCCATCTCAAAGGGAATTATCTTCTGTCCTACAGCTAAAAATAATTCCTGAGAAGGGTGTAGAAAGATGTTCAGCTGTCTGAACTGACTCCTTATTCACTCTGTTTTAAATACAATGGGAGGGAAGAGACTCTATAGTCCCATGCCTTGAAATCTGGTACCCGCATAGATGGGGACAGTGAGAACTGCCCTCTTCACTGATAGAAGTTACAGGAAAACTGACCAGAGTGAAGCTCTTAAAAAGAAGGTTCTATCTACACACAGATATTAATAGAACTTTATCATTAAGAGTAAGCTTGGCACTTAGGGAAATGAGAAAAGCATTCAAACTTGTACTGTGTAACAACTCTGTCAATAATGCGGATTTAGGTAAATCAGAAAACTAGCATTATAGCTTTTCTTTGCTCCCAGTTCTCCTGATTAATTCTCAGCTTTGAGTCCAAATCAGTCTACAGCTGGCTGACTGTAATGCTGACCATCCAGCTTCAAGGTCACAGTTATCATATCTGGATTGTGAACATTTTACTAACATCCCTATCAATGAAAAATACCTCTAGTTCAATATTTTTTCAGCACACCCCTCACACACATATGCATAAACAATGTATAAAATAAGCAGCAACACCATCAGTGAACAGGGAGTTGATAAAGAAACTACCCCCACTGGTTACAAGCCTATAAAGTTATAAGTAGTTACATCAAGTTGGGTATCAAGGACATTTCCTTCAGAAAGCCCAGTTGCCAGCAGAGCTGGTCCTTCTGCTTACCTGCTTTCTGTATTTGTTTACTGCCTGAGGAAAGTCCCAGGCAGCCAGGTGCAAGAATACAAAGCTCCTTGGAGGGTGGAAGGGACGCCCGGTGTCCTCTGAGCTGCGATCTCAATTCTGATGCTTTTCATGTGGCTGAAATAGCTCGAGTGCTCTGTGCCTCTCCCGGTACAGAGAGCTGCTCCTGGCTCGGGGCTGGAGGGGAACTCAGTTTAAGGCTAAGTGTTAAAGAGAATTCCTGTCATAGCTCACAGTTGTTCTTCCTAAATATAGAGTTTGATACAAGCCATACTCTGGCTGCCTCCAAAAGGATTGACCAGGCAGGAAGCACGGCTCAAATGTCAGCCGGGAGGTGGCTATGGTATCTTACTGCCCTCCTAATCTTCCAGAGAGGCTGATTATATTTTCTCACAAATTCTAAGGAAGTATAGAAAACTTCAAAAAGTAGGAAAAGGCTATCTTTAGCTTTATTACCTGGAGGCCAGGAGATGAGGAGCATTTAATAAAATTTGGGGGAAGCAGCTAGGGTACTGATGTCAGTGTTTTTATTCCAGCTTGGCCACTTGGGAGTTATTAAAGTTTTGATTTTTTATAAATAATCAGCATTCAATAGTCACCAAATGATATTTAAATTATTGCATTGAACTGTATGACATTGTCTTTTTGTAGGACAAAAATGGTTAAAGAGGGACAGGCTGTTGGGCCCATAGTCCTTGTTCCTCTGCTTCACTGCCTCTACTGGGGGCATTAACTTTGACCCCCAAAGCAAAGGAGACAACAGAATAGAACAAAGCAAACAAAGATGAAGTGTCTCAGTATGACAAGAGCCAGGACCAGGTACCAAGGAAAACATTTTTAAACAGACCACACCAAACCCTAAGGCACATGCTCACTATTTTTAACATGACTTTTCATTTTTTTAACTTCTCCAGTCTTTGAAATTAGCTTTATATAAAACTTACCTTCAAAAGAAGGAAGAGAGGATGGGATATCATAAAGATACAGGGAAGATCAGTAGAGCAGAAGAAGGAGATTAAGAGGGAGAAGGGATGGGAAAGGGTAGGAAATATGGAATAATTTTTTTTAAAAAAATCATGCTATGTGCATATAAAATATGCCACGGGAAATTTCACCTTTATGTATAGGTAGAAAGAACCAATCAAAATATAAATAAATAGATCAGCAAAAGGAAGATCAGTAGAGAAAGGAGAATGAGGTGAGGGAAGAGGGAAAGAAAAGGGGAGGACATTAACTGAAATAGAATTCCATGAATGTATTAATTTGTTGAGATGAACCCAACTACTATGTAAAACTATAATGCTTTAATTAAAATATTTTTAAGTAAAAAACTGTCCTTCTGTAGAAATAATTGACAGAGTGTACAGACTTAATATCTACCCACTAAATGAAAATGAACCCTATGTTTGAGTCCTTGATGGCGTGATTGAGCCACGGAACCAGCAACCGTCACCCACTAATCTTCTTGTTAGGTAAAGGAAAGAAACTTCAGTTTCTGTGAGCCCCTTAAATCAAGTTTCTGTTCGCTGTAGCTGAGTGCATTCCAAATAGAAGCAGTTGGCTTTGTTTTCAGGCCTGCAAAGAGAAAAACAATTTTCTGGGAGTTTAGGGGGTCAGCAGATTATTGGGATTTATTTTAGTTTGGGGTTCACCATTGACTTCTATTATTCATATACTATTTCAAAAAATTGTGTCTTTAAATTTCAATTTAGACATCATGCTTTAAGATTATATAGTGCCAAAAGTGAGTTATTTATACACTGGAGAAGAAAATATAAGGAGCACTTGAATATTTGCCCAGATGTTTGGCTACACCTGTGTGTTCAGAGCTCTTTACTGCACCAAAGATGTTGTCACTCCATGGACCAACAACAACAAGCCATTTGGACACCCTGCCCTGCAATCAGCCTACACATTTTGCCACAGTCCTACCTCAGTGACCACTTGGTAGACAAAAGAAAAAATAATAAAGAATGATCAGCTTGGAGAAGGGACTATGAAAAAGAACCTAGCTATGATCTATGAAAACACTTTATTTTTCCATAATATCTACTTCTATGTTAAATTGGAATTTTGACACTGCAACTATGATCAAATCAATGCTCATCTGTAATCCAGAAAAGTTTCAAGTTTCATTCCCTGGCTGATGCTAACACCTTTAAAAAGACTGGTGTGAGGGCTAGAGGTGTAACTCAGTGATAGAGGGTTTGCCTAGCATGCAGAAAACCCCGGGTTCTATCCCCAACACTGCCCTACCCCCAAAAAAAGACTAGTTGTGCAAATGTAGCCCACTCTGCCCACTTGATACTTGTCCCCACCTGTTTGGACAGAAAATAATTCAAAAATTTCCATAAGGGATGCGGCTGTAGCTCAGTGAGAGCACTTGCCTAGCATGTGTGAGGCACTGGGTTCAATCCTTAGCACTGCATAAAAAACTAAAACAAATAAAGGCATGCTGTCCATCTACAACCATAATTTTTTTTAATTTCCATAACATCTATCACAGTTGTACCAAAATTTTATAAATTATAGGTCATTTTATCTTAGAAAGTATAATCAGTTTTTAATAATAAATATAATATATTGCAATATTGATGCAATCTGACTAATGGGATAGACTAATTCTGATTGAGTAATTGGTTGTAGTTCTCTGTATGTTCATCTGGTAATGGCACTGCCCATCTACCCAGGGCCAGTGGCCTTTAATGACAAGAAGGTTAGAATATTGATTTCATTAAATTCACTAACAGGATAAATATGGATATTTGTGGTCAGATGAATGATAGGGACCAGGAATAATTTTGGATCTTTATTTTTTATCAATATTGTTGTTGCTTCCTGTTTTACCCTCTCCCATGTCTACAACCCCATTTCTCTCTGCAAAGAGTAATACAATATTATTATCACCTTATAGTTAATCAATTATTAACTTCCACAGTTTCTTTGCATTCAGCAAGATATACATTTGGTATTATGGATCATAACAAATAAAAATCCAACAACATGAAGATATTTGTCATTTTTATAGTCTAGACTTATATAATATTACAGATAATTTCTGGAAAGATTGCTCTCACTAAAGGTATGTTGTCCAACAATTCTACAACTAGATAAGTTATTTTCATGTGTTCTGGTCTTCTTAACTGCATTTGTAGCTAAATAATAATATGACTTAAATATCTTAACCACTATTTTGTGGTACCTATATATCATTTCATAGGTGTATCCCCAGTATGTGGCTCAGTGGCTATAATGAAAAAGACCAACAAGACAAATTTTTTGTGGAGAAGTAAGCACCCCTCATACACTACTGTTTGGAAAGTACAATAGTACTTTCCAAAGTTGGAAGAGTCCAGCAGTTCCTAAAAAGATTAAATACAGAGGGCTGGGGTTGTGGCTCAGTGGTGAAGCGCTCTCCTTGCATGTGTGAAGCCCTGGGTTCCATCCTCAGCACCACATAAAAACAAATAAATTAAATAAAGGTACTGTGTCCATCTACAATTAAAAAATATTTTTAAAAAAGATTAAACACAGAGATACCATATAACCCAACAGTTTTCTTCTTTTGCAAGCTAATTTTGTCTATTCTGAGTCCATTGTGTTTCCATATGAATTTTAGGGTTAGCTTACCAAGTCCAGAAGGGGAAAAAAACTGGGATTTTTTAAAGAGTTTGCATTGAACTTGTAGATTGATTCAGGTAGCATTGCCATCTTAACAAGATTAAATCTTTCAATGCATAAACATGAGCTGTCTTTCCATTTACTTCAGTCTTTTGAAATTTACTTCAATAATGATTCCATTTTATAGTTCTCAGTGTACAAGCGCACTCCTTTTGTTAAATATATTTTAAGTATTTTATTCTTTTCATTTCTATTGGAGGTGGAATTCCTTTCTTAATTTCATTTTTGGATTCCACATTGTTAGCATATAGAAATAAAATTTGTTTTGTATATTGATCTTATATTCTGCAACATTGCTGAACTCATTTATTCATTCTAGTAGGGATTTTTTGGTAGATTTTCTTTATATAAAAGCATATAATGTGTGAATAAAGACAGTCTTAGTTTTTTCTTCCCAATATGGAAGATTTTTACTTTTACCTTTTCTTTATATATTTATTGCCAATTGCCTTGATGCCCTTCTTGATCATAGAAAGCCCATGTTTTGTCAGATACCCATTCCCAAGCATTTCTCAGAATGCCCAAGAATTAAGTGTCATATGTTTCAGAAATCAGCCCAGTGGCCACATATCTCCTTACTAATGCTCTGGCTCCATACAATTTCTCTTACAGTTTGAAGCCTGCTCCTCCTAAACTACCCCTTTCCCTGGTCCCAGTGTAAATCCAGACCCTTTGTTTCCAAAAGTACAACTCACACAAGATTATAACATTGAGTAAAAATTCATTAAAGATTTGTGATAACAAGACAGTGACAAAATAAAAAATAAAAAGTCAAAGCTGAGTATTATCTGTATTACACGAGACAAGCCACTTCTCTCCTTAGAACTTGGTTCTGTGCTATGATGCACTAGCCATATGTATGTCTCTCTCCTTAGAATTTAGCTTATTTCCACAGGTACCCACGGAGAGGAAAAATGTTTTTTTTTCCTAAAAAGAAGTACTGCATAGAGTTATAATTTCCACTCACAAGGAAAATAACTTTTATATAATTATGCAGAGCATTTTAGCATTTCCTTGCCTTCAAACTACCATTTTGAAAAGAGACCTTTGTTTCACCTTTGTGTAGTTCAATAGCTTTTTCCCCAAAAGTATTTTCTTTCCAAAATAAAAGGACTATCTAGCTTCAGAAGTGAATTCAGAACTCCATCTCCAAAAATATGCTCTGCTCCTCTGTCCTCAGAGAAATTGCTGACATCTACCTCTCAATGCTTTTAGTCACCCTTTATCATGATAATAACATTTTATTCATTCATTCATCACATATTTTATTACACCTACTATAATTCAGGCAGTGTGATAGATGCTGAATGTTTCAAAGTAAGTAAAATGTAGTTTTGTGTTCTAGGAACCTATTTGCCACAGTCTGGTGCAGGAGACAAACAAGTAAATAATAACATAATTGTAAGCTGTATGTGCCATTGGGAAAGTAACTATACAAACTGCTATAGGACTTCAGAGGAAGATGACCTATTTCTCCCATGGGGCTGAGTGCTTCACCAAGAAG